TTTGGGGGGGGGGGTAAATTTTTTTTTATACTTTATAAAAAACTTAAAAAATTTTTTTTTAAAAAAAAAGCTACTAGTATTAGAAAAGACTTCCAATACGTTTATCAATTGCACATTAATGATAAAGTCCATAAGTTACCTTGGGTTATGTGGTTTATTTAGGAAATTTGTGAATTCATGTATTAAAACGGACACAGTTACGGCAAATTGTAAAGTTATTTTGACATTTACCTTAACACTGACTATTTACACATGAATGGATGGGCATAATGTCCCTTTCAGCTTATAACACAATGCTTCCATGAGTGGAAGTTTTGGAGTCATTTACTCCTGATTTTGGCTTGTGACTTCCAAAATATAACCTTTTTCCTTTTTTACCTATATAATGTGACTTTCAGTGTTAGACATTTTGCAGTCTTTGACTTCCAAATTTTGGAACTTAATGGAAGCCCTGTATGGCATATATTTCACAATGCTTTCATTTATGACTGTCTCTATTCAGAAGCAATAGTAAGATATTTCTATCAATATGAATTTTCCTTTTTGTTTTCAGGAGGAATTTTAAGAAAAACAGCCTTCACAACATTTGGCTTATTGGCAGCTACGTCACTTTGCTACCCAAATGAGGCTGTTTCCCTCACAACAGAACAGTATGAAAAGCTCAAGAGCAAAATTCTTGAATTTAAAAACAGTATGTTTTTTTTATATAATTATATTCATTTTTAGCTTGCCTGTTTGAAAGATAATGTCGCGCTATAATTATCACTGCTTCGTCGTCGTCACCGCCTTTGTCATTGTCTACGTGCAAAAACTTCCATGTAGCCCCGTATTCAAACATTTTAAAAATTATCAACATGGAATACTTGCTTATCTTGACATAGTGCATTTGTTAGACAAAGGCCATAACTCTGAAAGCAATATTTTTGGAGTTAATGTTATTTTAACAGATGAGCATTAACACTGCATTGGATATAAAAGACGATTGATGGCCATATTACTTTAATATTTAAAAAAGAAAAGATTGTATTTCAAAGTTTATACGAAATATTTCTTCCGGATATACTTGCTGAGCAGTTTAGTTATTGTTAAAGATGCAGTGTGAAAAATAAAATATTCCCTCTAGCTCTTTTTAGAAATTCTACAGGTAGTAAAATTCTTCAGATTCATAATATTGTTAAAGGAACTTTGAAATAAAAATAACCACTGAATGAAAGCAACAATCCTGACAGTGATCTCAGTGTAAAGCTTACTTATTTACCTTGTAAGTTTCACAGTTTTGTAATCATTTCTTAAATTATCAGACTTGCGTTTCTGTAAGTTTTACCCATGCCAGAAATTTCATTTGGCATGGTATGCCAGACGAGTCGCGTGCTGTACAATGGCACGCTAAGGATTACGTAATTTTACTGTTTTGGATGAATTTGTTATTTCATATGCTGTTGTAAGAAAAAAGTTATGGGTATAATATGGAAAAGAGTTTAAAATATAATGGATTATATTAGAATATGCAAAAAAAAAATCGGACAAATGTTTTCGTTTCTGATTGAAATATATCCATCCCTAGGGAACCCGCCAATTCCTCGGGACAGATATTCCAATATGGGCGGGTTTTTGAGGGACAGATTTTCCAATCAGAACTGCAACATCTGACAGATACTATTATTCCAGCTTGCTTACGAAACATCAGTGGAACTACTCTGGTGCCTGTTTGTGCCTGAATTAATACACAAGAGGGCCACCTTAGGTCTTCCTCCACCAGTATAAAAGCTGGCAAGTCACTATTTGACCTCTTCTCTGTTGGTGCGATGTAAAACCCAAACAAAAATATAATATATATAAAAATCATTCCACTTGAATTACTTCTTACGACAATCATGTAAGAGAAAATATGGCTATGTCAGAATTTCTAGTTCAAAGTCATTGGTCATAAGGCTTTAACATTTAAAAAGCATCATTCCAACTAGCTAAATAGATAATTACATTATTTGTTATTTAAAGTAGAACAAACAGCTTGACAAGAGATTTATTTAGAATTTATTTCTTGGTCCTTGCTGAACATATGCAAAAATGGGCTAAACATGTCCAACAAGGACTGAGGCGGCGGCCACAGGCTCCCTTCTCTCTCAAATTATGGAGAGAAAAAAGCCGAGTAGAAATGCGGCCAAAATGGCATAATGACCTAGATCTTGCCTTAAAATACCCTAAATTTTGTTGTTTTGTTTGTTTGGGTTTCACGCCACATCGACACAGTATAGCTCATATCGCGACGTTCCAGCTTTACTGGTGGATACTGGTGGAGGAAGACCTCAGGTGCCCTTCTGTGCATTATTTCAGGCACAAACTTGCACCTGAGTAGAACCACCGACGTTCCTGATGCTAGCTGGATAGCTTCCTCACATGAAAGAATCCAAAGTCCCTGTCTGGATTTGAACCCACAGCGGTGAGGGGCAAGTGGTTTGAAGTCAATGACCTTAACCACTCGGCCACGGACGCCCCTTTTGTTGTTGTATATACAGTGTAGTAACATAGGTATTAGTTGTTTATAAAACAGTAATTATTTTTTTCCATTCTAGGTAGTGAGTCTGATGACAAAAGCTCCTAGCAGGTGAGGGGACACAGAAAATTCAAATAAAATTTGAAAGTTTTATATATATAAGACTATATTCATTACAATGTGATGCTTTAAGAAGTTCCTTGTCAATAGTTGTATATAAAAAGTATCAGGATAATGAGCTACACAATTTTTTTGTGCGGATGTATATTTAAGGTGCATGCCTCCAGATGAGCCAAAATATTTCAAGGATTTCGAATCTTGAGAAACATGTACTGAGATTTTTAAGAAAAGTAATATGATTCATGATAAAAGTAAAAACTTACAGGTTGTGTGTGATAAATTGCAGATTTTTGCAGTATTTTTTACCATTTTGCATTTGTTTTTGGTAATTAACATAGCTTGTAAGTTGTTGTTTGCAGTGTGTAAATTATTATTTTGCTCATAATATTAGACTTTTCAATGCATTTTCAAAGTTTTCATGAAAATTAGCTGGAATCTGGAGGCATGCTGCTTTAATATGATGTGATATACTAAATGAGCTTTTGAAATATTTTTTGATTGCATATATGGCTGAATTAGTTGAGATGCCTACTTTTGTTTCAATTAATTAAAAGAACATTCATTATCTTTTGACACTATTGTACCAGGAACGTTGCCTTGGTGTTTGAATATTAGCATGTTTATGATTAAATATCATATGGTTTTGTTTTCTTTCTCTTATCTTTTCAGTCAACATACATGTACAAGATGTTTGTGCCAATGTGGAACCTTAAATTACTATTGTAATGTAGAATAATAATCATGTTGGCTTTGGCAAACATGTTTCAATTGTTGTTTTGTTTGTTTTTATATGATTCATAAATGACTTATTTATAATTCCAATAAGGGATGGATTAAATACATACAGATGTATTATTTTTAACATGCTTTTATGAAACTGACAGTGACAGTCAGTCCTTATACTGAATTTGAATTGATCCATAATGAAAGATCTGTAATACTATTTATAATTATGTTGATAATGTTTAGAGAAACTCCTAAAGAATAATTATATGATATTGGTAAGTGTATTATACATGATCCATTATTATATATCTATATATAGCAGTACAGGTGTTTGGCGTGTGGCCATGACTTACACTATACACCTGTTTCCCTACTACAACCCTTAAACATCGTCCAAACAACATAAATATTGACAAAAATCAATTAAATGAAGAAAAAAGAATTGTTTTAGAGTCATAAATTCTTTTTCTTCATATAATTGATTTTTGTCAATACTCATGACGTTTGGACGATGTTTAAGGGTTTTGGGTTGTAGAGGGGGACCAGGGGTATAGTTTATGTCATGGCCATGTGCGGAACACCTGTGTATAGCAGATGATAAATTGTTCTGGAACAAAATTCTAAATCACTTGCAACAATATCAACAATTTTCTTTTCAATAAGAGAATCCAAATGATATATTTCTATTGTCTTTATTTGAAATATACTTATGGAAATTGTGCCTATTGACTTATCCACTGTAAGCAGGTTTCCTACATGAAACATATATTATCTGATATCAATGTTGTTCAAATAGAAGTCAATTATAACTTATGTGAAATAATACTTATTGTTGATTTTTAGACTTGGAATGAAAATATGTTTGCAAAGACACAAGTGCTATAATAAAGTTGGTTTAAAAACTTCAGAACTCTTCCATTTTTGCTCCTTGTATCCAATAACCCTTAATTTAACTTCAAGGTCACACATAGACTGAGGTCAAATGTCAGATAAAAAATATATGAATATGTGTGCACAGAAGATTTGGAAGTTTTGAATTAACAGACTTTTTAAACTAGAAATGTTTCCATGGGACACTTGCTCCCCAACCTTATTTGCTGGCATACGTACATACTTTTGCATATTTATAAATCAAGTGTTGTATTACTGCATAATATATCATTTTTTTATAACGACAGTCAGAAGAACATTGGCTTTCACCTTTATATAAAGTGACCCTGTCTATAGTGGTCAGATCTAGGTCTGACAGAAAGAAATTCTTATATATAGACACCTTTTATAACATGAACCTGTTTATTGCATTCAGCGGCCACCAAATATCTGACCAAAAAAGAGAAAAGGAGAAAAATATATAATAACTATACTAAAGTACATGTAAATTTTACCACACCTAGCCAACAGAATCAAACAGCTTATAAATACAGATTCATGCCAATGATAAAAAATGTGTTTATAATTCATGACTGGCACTTGACGGGTGCCTGAAAGGGCTGATGGATCTTCATTAAGCATAGACTACCTGATCAAACTGGCACTTAGTTTTAGCAATTTGGGAAATTTGTTTACATTTATTGATATTGTTATTATGGTTCCCTTGCTGACCACAAAAGGCAGGTTATACTGTAGTACATTCCAGACAACCTGTACTGTGTGACATAAAACCTAAGCAAGAGGGCCAGATGGTCCTAAATTCGCTCACCTGAATATAATACTCTTCAAGTCAGTGTCTGCTATGAAATTCAATGGTAGATTCACTCGTTGCTATAGTATGTTAATGTTTGCTATTTAAGTCGTTGTTTCCTTTGTAAAAAGTCAATGTTTGCTATCAGTCCCTGATTGCTTTGGAAATTTACAGTGTGCTATGAAATATCAATGGCTGCTATGAAGTCTCTGGTTGCTATAGAAGTCAATGGTTGTTAAGGAAAGCAAACTGTTGCTATGGGAGTCTTGGTTGCTATGGAAAGTCAATGATTGCTATAGAAGTCACTAGTTGCTATGAAAGTCAGTGGTTACTATGAAAAGTCGATGGTTGCAAGATTGGTCACCAGTTGCTATAGAAAGAAAAAAGTTGCTGTGGAAAGGTAATGGTTGCTATGACAAGTCACTGGATGCTTTTGAAAGTCAATGGGTGTTAAAGAAGTCTATGGTTGCTATGAAAGTTGGTTGGGAAGTCACTTGTTGTGAAATAGGTTATTGGTTGCTATGAAAATCAATGGTTGCTATGGAAAGTCACTGGATGCTATGGAAAGTCAATGGGTGCTTAAGAAGTATATGATTGCTATGGAAAGTCACTGGTTGCTATGGAAAAAGAATGGTTTGTTGCTATGGAAAGTCACTAGTTGCTATGAAAAGTCACTGGTTTAAGCAGGAAATCTAATGGTTGGTTGCTATGTAAAATCACTAGTTGCTATGGGAAATGAATGGTTGGTTGCTATGGAAAGACACTAGTTGCTATGGAAAGTCACTGGTTGCTATGGAAAATCAATGGTTGGTTGCTATGGAAAGTCACTAGTTGCTAGAGAAAATCACTGGTTGCTGTGGAAAGTTAGTGGTTGCTATGACAAATCACTGGATGCTTTGAAAGTCGTTGGGTGCTTAAGTAGTCTATGGGACTCCAAATCTCGGGACTGCAGGCCAAATCATTCCTTAGTTATTGGTCGAACAAGTTATAATGGTCAACATCATGGTAGCCTTGACCTACTGACCCAAAAAACAACAGGTTTTCTGCTTGTCATGACCAACCTCAACACAAAATCTTAGAATGATATGAAAATTGCAGACTGCAGTCTCTAGTCATTGGTCAAACAAGCGTTTAGTTATTATTATGGACAGCTTCGGTGGATTTTTACCTACTTACCTCAAAATCAAAAGGGTTCAGACACACTTCCGAACTAATCATTCGGACTGTAGTCCTAATCCCTGCTTAGTTACTGCTTAGACAAGCTTATAGGGGTCAAGGTCACAGTGACCTTTATATTAAAACTATAACAAAGCAATAACTGCGTACATTAACAACAACTTATTCCTCCTCCAACACAGGATGTTCCCACTTTTTATGTAGGGGCATAAAAATGAGACAGTCTTACCAGCACAATACAGGTCAATAAATGCAAGGTCAAGGTCAATAAATTCAAGGTCACCAGAGAAGGTTAAATGTCAAGATTTAGTCTATTTCATGCATGGATGGATAATCTTCTACATTATGGATAGATTTTCATATTATTGTCCAGCTAGCTTACCTAACGTTGAAGGTTCTGCTCAAGTGAAAGATTTTGTCTGAAATAATGCAAAGAGGTGAACCTGAGGTATATTCTTCGAATGGGGTGTGGTTGGGGAGCTAAAATTCAGTTCTTTTATCCCTGATGTTGGTTCTTTTATCCCTGATGTTGGTGCATATATCAATGGCCTCCACAAGGGAGTAATGTTCGCCTATTTGCTGATGATATTTCTATAAACCTAATCTCAACAATTGAAGGGGTCAGTGCAACAAGGTACCTAACTACAATTTTGGATGAAATTGAGTTGGGACCTTTGTGATTTAAAGAACGTTATTTGGAATTAGAATAACCTCCCTTTGTTACTCATTTCTTTGTTTTTAAGGTAAAAATGGTTCTTGAAGGAACTTTACAAAGGTCCTAACTCCAGAGGTGGAGTTGAGACCATTGTTACATTAAATCTATCCATTTTTTCTTGTTTTGAGGCGAAAAAAATATATGAAAATGTGATTATATTTTGATTTTATGTCAAAATGTGCATGGAATTTTACAACAACAATGTTTTCTTCTATGTTTTGTCAAATTAATTTGCAGAAATGTTCATTTGTGTGAAAATAATTACAAGTATTATTATGTGAATTTTGTGTTCATGGAGATAGAACCTTTGTTGCGCATATATATACCATATTTATCCCTTTTTAAAATTTTGCATGAAGACATTTAAGTTTTAAAAATATTGTTTAGAGTTTTTCTATACATGTATATCACCATAAAGATTATTGTTTAAGAGGAAATGTTAAAATTTGAGCATTTAGGATGCTTTAGGTAGTTAATGTTAAATATATTAAATATTTTACATTTTAGCGACAAAGGCATGTTCTGATAGCTTTTGTTTGATTTTTCAAGACCATATTCTGAGATAATTATGGAAACTATACAGCTAAAGCTGATGTATTTTATAATATTTGTAACTTAGGTTATTTAAATGTAGTCGTCTAGTGAAAATACGTTTGTTACAGTTCCTTCACACAATATTTTTGAAGTACATGCAATTATATTCTGAATTATTAAAAACAAAACTTTTATTCGTAAGATAGGTTCTTTTATATTTGAACTGGCTTGAATATTAAAGTTTTGTTTCTTTCTATGAAGAATATATTTTTAAAACTCATTTGTTTTTGTTTCCTGTAGCCAGTCAATTAATCAATTAGTTAATCAATCAAATATTCATCAATTTATCAACTAAAGGATGTGTAACAAATACAATTTATACAATTGATGAATTGTTTGAAACGCCTTAAGTTTTTTTTTAAGCTTAATATTAATGTGCAAATACATTAGGGGTTATATGATAACCTTTTAGTTGATTGAAAAGTTGAAAGATATGTAGATTTTAAGCTCAAATACTTTATATTTGCTTTGCCTGAACGCCTTTGAAGTTTTATTTCTGTCATCACAGGAAGGGGAAAGTTTAAAGAAAAGTCTGACAAAAAGTGGATTGAAAATGTCTGGCACAAATGTGCCAGACGACTTTATTTTATAAAAAGGTAAATAAACTAAGTTAATCAAAATGACTAGAAACTATAAGACTAGAAAATTGTGTCATAATATCACA